TCACTCTTTTAAAGCGCTTTCCCCCCTCTTTTGCAGCATTTAGCATTTCTGTGGCCTTCTTTCTTATATTAATGTTTTCTGATGCCACTGAAGGCTTATTTGCATGAGTTTTGTTCATAAACATGAATATATTTCCAGTTAGAATGAGCATGAACGAATAAAATCCTCGTTATTCATATGCATTTGCATTACAGCTGTAACTTATACGGTAAAATAATCACTGCTCGTGGTGATTACGCCGAGTTCCTCACATTTCCTCGTGCCTTCACACTTAATTTTTGTGCGCCTTCTTGCAGAGTTAAGTGATGGGCCTTGGCTGCGCTATTTATCTGATAGAAATGATTTTATGCCTTGTTGGCTTCTGTGAAGTGTTTGTCGTGAGTACACACACAGAAAGACGCATAGCAGGAAATATTTAGGACATCTTGGATATGTTACATGGGCGGTAATGTCATCTGGGGTCACAGAGAAGAACGTGAAAGGAAAGCAGGCAGCATAAATGAGAGTCATGTCTGTACAGTTGTTAACAAGGAACTGTGTGAGTGTGTGTGTTTCTTTGCATGCATGGGTAAGCATATCTCTGCAAATGAGTGGGTGTGATTTGGATTATGAGTTGCTGTGGCATATCTGTCCTCTAGTGTTCAGCATCTGTGTGTTAAGTGTCCAACTGTATGCAAGTGCTAAAGAGCATGAAGACACGTAAAGCTAAAGTTGGGACTAGAAGGACACTACACCGCCACCATGCATACGTGTGTGTGTGTGTCTCTCATTAGAGCGGAACTTGTGGTGTCAAGGTCACCTGGAAGTCAACCGCCCCTAATTGGCTTAACAGTTGTCAAGGAAACGGGCTGGATCAGGCCAAGTGTAAACTGACCCACCCAAGTGTTCATGTTCATCTGAGACAAACAAACACAGCACACACCCACAGAGACATTGTGTGTCACTTCCTCGTGCACACTTCAGCCTGCCAAGATAACGAGGGAGTGAGACGGATGTTACCGAATGAGGCAGAACTACCAGTAGGTAGCCAGACAGATAGGCAAGATCAAATAAAATGTAGACGCACGCATGAAGTCGTAGACAGGGTTAAACCGAGACACAACGCTGCTGAACTGAAGGCGCTGGAAGAGAACTTTTCCCCGTCTTCCCCGGCGTCCCAAACCCTCCAACTCTCCCCATCTGCTGCTCCATCCTTAGTGTCAGGAGCTGAAACCAGTGATCAAATGTCCAAGAATAAATTATGACAATTGCTTTCATTATGTCATCTTTCTGTCGCTGCTGCTGCATCATTTCTGCAGTATCTCTGTTTTTTTTTTTTTTGCTATTTTATACTTCATGACATCTTGAGGGGAACGTAGCTATTGAAAACCAAGTTTTAACCCTCTGAAACCCAAAACTCACCAGAGAGTTTGATGTTATGCCTTAAAAATTGCCAGAATTGCACCATTTATTAGAGCCAGAAACTGTAGGAATAGAAAGAATTCCACTGCTCTATACACTATTCATTTGTGATGTGCTTTTCTGTTTAGAAAATCAATTAAATCTAAGCTTGAAATCATGATAGTTCATCAAAATCACTTTATTCTTTATGTCTATTTTTTTAACACCAAAAAGTAATTGTTTGCACTAAGGAGGTTTTGTTAAAAAAATAAATAAATGAAAAATAAATAAAAAATGTGTGCTCCTTGGTGGAGCAATACACCCATTCTCAACTCAACTGTGACTAAAATTGACATGACAAAAATTCTGGGACTTTTTGACGGAACTGGGCTGAACTGCCGGCAGTGTTTAGACAGACACAGAGCACATAAGAGACTCAGATGAAAACAAATTAAAAATGTAAGTAGTAAAATATCTATCACATGCAATATCAAACTTTTTGGCACTTGAAAAAATTGTATAAATATTGATTGCAGTTTTTCAAATATGTAATTGCATAGATATATTTCTATAATAAATAATGAATATTATGGCACTACACCTGTGTCATACTGCACAGAAGACATTTTATGAGTTTTCTGTACTTCGACTTTTGGTTGTCTTGTTTCCACAGAGGTTCAGGACTTTGTGCTGCAGTGAAAAATGAGTCCACAGTGAGGAAACTGGATCAGCAAAAGATGCTCAGAAACTGTTTGGGGTTCAGAAAGTTAACACAAAACATGCAGTCAGTTTACAGCTTATGATATATTGTTGTGGATTAAACACTTCATGATTCTTCATATTACAGCATTATTATAACATTTTTTCCCCCAATTGATCCCTTTAAATATTTCAAGTAGAGTTGGGGCAGTGGTTTGCACCGTTGCTTCGCAGCAAGAAGGTCGCTGGTTCACATCCCGGTGAGGACACCCGGGATCTTTCTGCATGGACTTTGTATGTTCTCCCCGTGCAGCGTGGGTTCTCTCTGGGTTCTCCGGCTTCCTCCAACAAGGTCCAAAAACATGTTGAGGTTAATGGTGATTCTAAATTGTCCATAGGTGTGAATGTGAGTGTGCTTGGTTGTCTGTCTCTAAGTGTAGCCCTGTGATAGACTGGTGACCTGTCCAGGGTGTCCTCTGCCTTCACCCTAAGTCAGCTGGGATAGACTCCAGCCCCCCATGACCCTAGTGAGGATTAAGTGGTGTATAGATAATGGATGGATGGATAGTACTAATTTACAGCACTTTTGCTTTTTTTGTTTGAGTCATTATTTCTGAATACTTCCTCAAACACAGGTCTGATCATGCTCAGATTAAGTCAACTATTTTGTCTAAGTTGAAATGTGGCACCTTGCTTTTACGCCGATCCTGTACATGTTGTGGTACTACTGTACATAGAGAGCAGTTGTATGATGTGCAAAGTCCCTCAGGAGTATGTGTTCAGTGTAAAGTGGTCCTGTAGGAATTATGTAGATATTGTAGAGGACACTAAATCGTCCCACAGGGTATTTTTATTATTATTTTGCTCTTGTGGCTTTGTCAGTAGATTACTCAGGAGACATCACCTGAGCAGTCTCAGTTCTGGCTTGCAGGGGGAATCATAAAAGACGCATTAAAAAGTACAGCATTCATTTGGACTCTGATCCACACAAAGCAGTGCAGTTGCGTTGCTTTGCAATGCCTCACCATCAAAACTCCTCTCTTTTCTCTCAAGTAATGCTCCATTCCATTCAGAGTTGGTCAGAAAGTCACAGCCTAATTACAGCCTGCATTATTTTAAGCGTCTCAATTCAGGAAAACCACAGATGCCCACATTACGTGACATACTCGATGCAAAATTGCGTCAGTCGTGTTATTATAGTAATATGTCACAAAATTAGCGGGTTAGCTCAGAAAGCCGGGGACTGACAGATGTCTCTAATGACACAAAGGCCGTAAAATCAAACATGACTTTAGTCTGAGGTTTCTGAATATGTTGTAAAGCTGTTACTCCTTTTTACGTGGAGGGCATGTTTATATGTTGACGTAATGAAATAAATTTCTTCCAGACTATTTGTGGTTAACAAATTAGGGATTCTGACTTGAAGGAATCGCTCCTTTGGATTTTTCCTAATAAGATGCTGGAATTTCCAACTTTCACCACGTGTGGAGAGGAACATTAGCTTACTCCAGATTTTTCCTTCCCCTTTCTAAAACCTCGCCTCCGCAGCGCCGTGATGTATTTGTTTTCTAAGAATGCATCGTTTCCACTCCTTTCCAAGCTCTCTTTCTCCCCTTTTCCCTCTGAGCTTCTTCTCCCCTCTGTGCTCAGCTTCTTGTCTCTTTACCCCTCTGCCTCTCTGTATCTATTCGTAGCATTCCTCAACTCTCTCTCGTACCTTCCTCATGCTGGATGTGTCTGCAGTTTTGTTCCTTATCTCTGTACCTCTGTGTGTGTGTGTGTGTGTGTGTGCGTCACATGTGTGTATACAGTATGTGTGTGTGTGTCGCCTTCTCCGCAGCGTGTCCATCAGCCATCTCATTATGGCTGTCTGTTTTTACATCCCTTTGCCTCATTAGGCACCGCGCACAGCCACTGAGGACAGCAGGCCTCAACTCCAGTGCCAATTTACCCCTCTCTCTCTGGCTTTGTGTGTCTGTGTGTGTGCCAGTAGAGTGCTCTCTCTGCATTTCCCTTGTCACACATTACCTTGTTTCCTTGCATTAGGCGCTTTCCATCCTTTGCATCTTCTTCATCTCTTGCTCATCTGTGCTCATGGGAAACTGAGTTCCCTGCACTCTGCTAACCTTCCTTTTCTCTATCTCTTTTTTTTTTTTTTTTGGGTTCTTTCTCCATCATCATGTTGCCGGTGGGACATTTCGGTCCAGTCTTTGCTCACCCATTTGTACTTTTTGTTTTTAATTTATAAAGGCATCCTTTGTAACAGTTTGATCATTTGTGAGTTATTGATTTATGTATGAGTGATAGGTCATATAAGAATGCTTTTAAAATGGGTACATTTGTGCTTCAGTGTTGGGAAGGAAACCCTCCTTAATTTGTCCGAATCACAAGTTCGGGTCTGGAAAATATCTACAGAGCATCTCCACAAAATCCCTTTTTTTTTTTCCTTTTAAGTAGAGAAATCGTTGGCACTTTAAGAAACTGGAGTAAAATGGAAAGATCACTACTACTTTCATGTCTGTCCATTAAATATAAAACTATATCCAGGTTATAATGTGTAATTTGGCTGCAGGATGTCCTTACACTCAGCCAAAAAAAGAGTCTTGCATAAAACTCCGAGGAAACCACAGCTTCTCCGTGAGCTTTTGAGGTGACTTAAGGTGGCTTTTGTTACCTTTGGACAGAGCTGTGCTAGTTTCCCGATGCTAAGCTAAGATATGGTGTCTGGCTTCAAACGTTATGTTTGAGCGATGTCAATCTTCTCTGCAAGAAAGCAAATCAGCATGTATCTGAAGTTTTGTCATTATTTTATCTGCAACTGCAGACTTAGACGTATAACTTCACTGTAGAGTTGTTTTATTTAACAGTTCATTTCTGCCACTAAAACTCATTTTCCCCATTGTTTCTCTGTGTGATGGCAGGTGAATGAGATCTACCACGACCAGTCTTTGGGTGCAAAAATCAACGTGGTGCTGGTGCGGATTATCATGCTGGGCTACGGCAAGGTAAGACCTGTCAAGACACAAGTTCTTCTGAAAAAAAAACGTCAAGTGAGTCGCAGTTCCTGGAAAGCTAATGCCGTGCCTCTCTATCAGCACTATCTTTGATGCTAGGATTTTAGGATTCTACAGTAGCTTTAAGTCCATACAGTAAGCACAACCAAGTCGTACACACAGACTCATAAACAAACACACAGACACACAGACACACAGACACACACACACACACTCACTCTCATCAGCACATGCTGATGCCCAGAGCCTGTTATTCCAGTGGACTGAGCAAAAGAGGAACTAAAAGCATGCAGCATCCCAGGGGAGTGTTTTCAAGTCGCACGCCTTCACAGTTCAGCACCAAAGCACACAGAAACTCTGCCCGTTATGCAATCATCGTTCCTCCCAGAAGGCTGCAGCACAGAATCATGGGAAGTCCAGGCAAAGATAAACAATCAATGATAGCCCTCCCTCATTCATAAAGAGAGAGACCGGACAATGGAGGGGGGGGGAGCATCCTTTTCTTCTCGACGGTAACTCTATCTGCCTGGCTGGTGCTGAAGAGAGGGGAGGAAAAAAAAGAGGGGAGATAAAACAAGATGCGGCTGGAACGGAGGAGGGCAGGGATTACCCCAATGGATGATACAAGTGATTTTATTGCTGGATGTGTGCTCTGTGATATACTTATGCTGCTGTAGCCTTATCTCTTCCTCTGCTCTCTCTACATGTCTACAGTCCCAGTGGAACTCTGGAAACACACACACACACAACACAGACACACACTCACTACACTACATTGGTCATTCTGGGCCAGCCCCTATGCAGCTTCAGCCAAAGCTCCGGCTGTCCATCATTCCCAATTACCGTGGCAACAGAGCTGCACCCAGACAGCCTGCAGATTGGCTATGTGACCCTGAATGCAGGCGCACTCACACACCCACACTTCTCTCACACACACACACACACACACAATCCAACACAACATTTACACATGGCACACCATTACAAACCCATTTTTTTTTAAATCATAGAAAGAAAGAAAAAAACATATTCTGATTAACATGAGAAATCTCATACGTGTACAGTGCACTCCGTCTGAGGGGTGTTTGTGCAGAGTACAGACTTTACACTCCATCATGTGTGCAGAGGCAGGCCATATGTCTTCGGTGCAGCTCACTCACACTACACACACTCGCTGTTTGATTCAGCTGTGTATTGTGCATGTGTGAAAACAACAAGCAAATGTAGAAAGAGGCAAAAAGGGAAGCAGTGGAAGACAGGCATGGAGAGGCTTGTGTGAGCAGAACATAGCTGAGGGAGGGGAGGGGAGGTGAGCGGAGATCCTAATGAGGGAGAGCACGAGAGGTGAAGGTGAATGGAAGGAATTGCAGGCATCTGGGTGTTGGTGTGAGTGTTGACAATATGAATTTTAATCATGAGTAAATATTTTGTAATTGGACATTTTTTGACTATTAGCACAGAGCTCATTAATAGACAGCTCTTTGTTCAGCTTCATGTTCATTATTGAAATCGTCAATTCAGAATCCTAATATTATTTTGCAAGTACTGTGTATCCCTCTGAGTGTGTGTGTTTGAGTGTGCAAGTGTGTGTGTGTGTTATACACCTCAGCAATTTGCAAGATCTGCTGACAAGATATAACATTGTGACACTGCCCCCTACAGGGTTGAATAAAATGTTGAAAAACAACAAGCATCTATAGTTCCCTGTTTTTGTATCATCTTTACACCCTCCTCCCTCTTTTTTTCCCTTTGTGTTTGCATCTCCCTCTCTGGTTCCAGTCCATGAGTCTGATTGAGCTGGGGAACCCGTCTCAGAGTCTGGAGAACGTGTGTCGCTGGGCCTTCCTGCAGCAGAAGCAAGACACGGGGGATGCCGAGTATCACGACCACGCCATCTTCCTCACGCGACAGGAATTTGGCCCTACGGGCATGCAGGGTAGTAAAGAACATGCACACAGTCTTTAATAATTTGGTTGACGGACGGGAAAATACATATGTCCACATTTCACACTGGCCCTCCCGAGAACGTGACAGTCATACGTACGCACAGAAAACTCCCCTCTTCCTTTCTGTGCCTCGTTTAGCTGCATTGTGCGCTGTGGGTTTGGTGGTTGGTGGTTTTCTGTGCAGCAGAGTACAGGCTAACAGTCAGGCCCAGGGGAGAGGCCTCTAAAGGCAGTGGCCTAGCTATCCAGAAGCCCTTCAGCTGCCCTTGGGCTCAGCCTTCAGCAGCAGAAAATCAATAGACAGAGAAGGGCCAGCCACAGCTCCACAATTAAAGGCAGTACAGGACAGACAAGCACACAGGGAGTTGGAGATTGGCATATGTAGAGGTGGAAGGCGACGGTTTCGGGTTAGGATTAGACACAGCGGTGCACACACATTTGGCCTTATGTGAGGGTGACTCCCCTTTGTGTGTGTGTGTGTGTATTATATAGATGTAAATCTTTAGATTGAACTATTAGATTGAAATGAGAAGTAAGTGTACTCAACTCATTGATTTTTGTTTACTAATCTTTTACTGGCATAACTGTCAAATGTATACAAATAAACAAGCTCTGTCAATCAGAGTGAAACTAAGGAATTGTCTGGTAATTGACCAGAAGTGTTATTTTAGTGTTACTCAGTTTAGGAAAATGCATACAGATTGAATAATTGTAGAATATGAACTTCATACCTGACATTTGTTTTGTTTGTGATGCAGTGTACTAGATTTGTGTGGAAAATATACTTTGAAATGAGCAAATACAATACTGACACAAACACTGATGTGACATTAATCTTTACCTTTGACTGGCTGAGTCAATGAGCAAACTGTCTTTTGTCAACAAATCTATAAATCTTTAAGAATCCCTCTGTCTTCCTGTTTGCTAAGGTTATGCCCCGGTGACTGGCATGTGTCATCCAGTGAGGAGCTGCACTTTGAACCACGAGGATGGTTTCTCCTCTGCCTTCGTGGTGGCTCACGAGACTGGACATGTGTGAGTATGGTGACGTTTCATTTTTTTGGTGTTTTGTGGTTGTTCTAAACTTGAAGGTGTAAAATAAAAGATGTTACTACTGGTGAGATGAGCCATTCAGAATGAGCACCACTAGTCCAGTGGGTTTATTTTCTTTCTAGAACTGCATCTGCTTACTCGAAAACATCTTGGGCATTGGCAAAACACACCAAATGATCTGCTGTGGGTTGTAAGAGTGAACACAAGACTCTTCATGCACTCCCAGCATCTAAGGGGCTTAAGACCCAGTGGATGGCTTTTATTATTGATGACACTGTCACCACAACAACTGGGAAAGTCTTAGTGTTAGCGTGTTGTGTTAGAGTTGATCATATGCTCACAGGTCAGAGCTCTGAGAAAACTGTGACACTGAGGGACACTGAGAGACGGTGGAAGCTTTAAGACCAATTTGAAACAGATAAACAAGGATTGAGAGGATTACTCAGTGTTTTAATGTCGCCCATTGTGCTTCAGTGCAACCTAAGTGTTGGTGCCATTCTCTATTCTATAATTCATGTTCATGTTTAGTTATTATTTTTAGATGTGTTTGGTACCTGCATTTGGTTTTGGGGCTTGGAGTTTCTGGAGTGGGCAGCCGGTGGGAGCTGACGCTGAGCGGTGACGTGCGGGAGCGCGCGCATCGATTGGATGGTGATGCTGTGTGTTTGTTCTATGGGGAGTTGTTCATTAAAGATGGGGCGAACACACCGTTTTCTACCGTCGTTTAACTAAAACACGAGTAGACTCGTTCTTTCCGTCTGACCGAGTGGTTATTTGCTTATGGACTTTAAGAACAGACATTTAGCCACTACACTAAGCTCAGCCAGTGTTTACATTGGTTTGCCTCCCTGCTAATCTCTGTATTCACATATACTGCATTTTGATACAGTTGAATTCCCAATAAAGCTGTTCAAGTTTACACATCTTTCTGTTTCTCCAATCAGACAACAGAACAAGTATGACACGGTGACTGAAACGCAGCCCATTAAAACTACATGTGAACCAGCAGTCACTTCAGAAATTTTTCCAATCTGCAGGTCTACACCACTAAAATACCAATTTTAGAACCACAACGTCGACCGACAAACTCATCAAATGAATGTTTTAAAAACAGCATCGCTGTTAAATCAGTGAATTTTCTTTTAGAAATTCCACTCATATTCATATCTGTGTCAGCTGCTGCGTGGTCAACTGTTTTCCTCCATGTTTAGAGAGAGTCTTCTTCCTGATGACTCAGACTGCAGCAGCTCAGTTGTATTTTTAAGCAACAGACATCTGAAACAGCCCATTTATAACAGGGGTGAAACGAGGGGTTTTACAGTCGTGAGGAAATGTACTATTTTTGAAGTAGTTTAAGCTAAAAAAAAATTGAAAGACACATTCTGGGGACGTGAGAATTTCCTTGATAGTCTGAAAAGTGGCACAATATGAGACCTTTAAAGGACTGTTTTGATTGAAAGCAGTTTATTGTGACAGTATGTAATGAGTGAACTGCCACTGCCTCCTCCTCTTGTTCCTCGTTATTCTGCTCCCACACGTTCCCAATCTGTCTCCACTGGTTCGTCTCCTTTCCCTTGACTTTTATCCTGTCCTCGTTCTTTCCTCTCGGGCTGTGCAGGCTGGGAATGGAGCATGATGGCCAGGGAAACCGCTGTGGAGATGAGGTGCACATGGGCAGCATCATGGCTCCGCTGGTGCAAGCCGCCTTCCACCGCTTTCACTGGTCCAGATGTAGCATGCAGGAGCTGGGACGCTACCTTCAGTGAGACACATACACACACCCTCACATAGAGAGGGATTTGATTATATGGGCTTGTAAAGGTCAATACTGGCATCACTATTTTAAATTTGCATCTAGTTGATATTTTGTGCTGGTTTTTAGTGTATGTAAATTGTTTTTTTCTTAAAAATATATATATTATTTTACAGAGTGCGCAAATATTTCTGCTATTTATGGTGTTAATTTCATGATGTAAATTTTCAAGTTAGGGAGCTCTTAAACTTCAAAAGAAACTCATTTTAGGGGGTTGAGAGCCTCTGACCACATCCACCAAACATGAATTGGAGCTTTGAGCTAAACAGCAACAACAACAGCAACAGCAACAGCAACAACATCAGCAACAACAACAGCAACAACAACAGCAACAACAACATAATGTAAATGTTAAAAGCAGAAAAGTAGAGTTGACCAAATGCTTTGCAGACAGAGCAAAAAAGAAAAGGACATTCTGGAAGTCCATGAAACAACAGAAGATCAGTTAACCCAAGCAGAAGGAGAAGACCAGAGAGCCAAAAGTGGAGAAATAGAGTTTTCAAAATGAATCAATTCAACAATACCACATAAAATAAAAGAACCAAAAAATGCCATATCCAAATACGAAAAAAGAGCGAGTGAAATAAAAGAAAATAAGAGTGTAAAACCATAAACGCAAGGCTAAAAATAAAAATAACAGTAGGAATAGTAGGTAATAGGTACATACAGTAAGCACAAGTAATAATATGAAATGAAAAAAGATGTCAAACGATAGAGTTATAAAGTTGAGTGAGTCTCTTTTGTATGACATTTTACATACAATGTATACACCAAGTGATTCACTGAGGATAATAAAATAATGCAAATTTTACATCTGAACCAGGATACTGAGCTTATTAAATTCGAAATAATAAATGAAACCCTTTTTCCGACTCCTCTTGCAGTTCCTACGACTGTCTCCGTGACGACCCCTTCGACCACAACTGGCCGTCGCTGCCTCAGCTGCCTGGTTTGCACTACTCCATGAACGAGCAGTGTCGCTTTGACTTCGGTGTGGGCTACACAATGTGCACCGCGGTAAGAGATCACCACAGTCCCAGCAGTCACTTTACAAACTTAGCTAGTTCACCAACACTTACTAACTGCACTGGCCTACTGATGGCAACCTCTACTAACACTCGGCCACCAATGAAGCTTAACCTCACTTTGACTCAGAGAGATGTTTGAGCTCACTTTGAATTCAGTGTGTTGAATTAATTCAGAGTTTGCTGAATTTCACTGTGATATATATATATACATACATTTTAATGGGAACTCTTGAGCTCCGAAGGTTTTCCTCATGAACTGAGCACAGCACTGACATCTCTTATCTCTGATCTACACTGTAATGAAATGAGAGTCACACATACAGAGCTATTCACGTTCTTCTGATGTCCTCTGTTTCCTCTCCCGGCCACTGGTGGGATTGACATCTTGCTTAAAAGCAGGTAATTGGTTTTGATAGCTATTTCTTTTTTCTGTCGTTAATGTTAATAATAAAAAAAATAATTTATTTATTATAACACTACAGTTGCCTTGATACCACAGTCCCTTTACATGAACCTGTCACAAACAGTGTTTTGTAAATGCAACAAATAAATAAATAAAATAAATCTCACACAGTAACCAAGCTTCACCCAGCTGCAGCATCTTGCCAGCCGTCTTTACCTCCCCCCCAGTCACCCCCACCTGCTCTATGACTGTGAAGCCACTGTGGCACGCTGTTGGGAAGCTGTTGCTTGATTGACTAAGGGCTTGTTCGGGGGCTTTGCACACATTGCTAGATTACCCTCTATTCTCTTGTCAAACTCATTCCCCTCAGCTACAAAAGGCGGGCCAGTCAGGAACGCAGGTAAGGTAACCCCACCTCCCGGAAGACATGTGGCCCATCGTTTATTTCCTCCGATTTTCTTTTTCTATTTGTCCTCTAAAGTTGTAACTGTTTGTAATGTTGCTCCGTACTTTTCTTTTTTACTGTACTTTGTTTCTCTGTTCTACCCATTGTCATATTTTGGACGTTAGTCTGCAGGATTCTAAAATGCTCAGAGTGGCTATAAAATCCCTTAAAACACCGTGACTCTGCCGGTTCATTGGTTCAGTGGCTATGGTGCAGTCCAGCAGTTGAACGGTACCATAGCCAGAGTCCTCTCCTGCAAATCTGTGTTAAATCACTGCAGCACTGGCAGGAAGAGCCTCATTATATTGGCACTCTTGTGACTATAAACGAGTGGAAAAGGTTGGAAAGATGTCTTTCCCATCCAAGGGGAAAGGGCTTAGCCAGAACAGAGGCTGTTTTTCCATGTTTCACTTCAGCTTTTAGGATCCTCCAGTCTGATGTAACTGGTGATTACCTACCACAGTCTAGCCATTGATTGTGACTCGCCCTCTGACCTGTAAAGGTCCTCTGGGGTCATGGTGGGCGGGGAAGTCTGTGGAAAGGAGGGAGGAGGGCACGCCCCCTCAGACACTGGACTGCAGGTCAGTTTGGTGGATCCTCATCTCTGGTTTATATCAGACAAGGAGGAGAATTTGGTCCTTGATCTGTGTTTGGGGGCATTTTAGAGGTCACTGAGGCCTCACCTTTTGGCTTCTAAACCTTTCGCCCTCTGCCCTCTGACCTCCCTTGTGACATAATTAAACCATAGGCTGTCTCATTACGAGAGTCTTGTCTCTCTATCATCCATTGGTTTAGTTTGCATGAATGGCTGTGTGTTTCTCAGTGGAGCGTAGTGTACAGTGCAGTGACTCAGCACAGGGTCGGTGTTGTTAATGTTGGGTATAATACTGTTGTGGCTATCGTTGTTGTGATATTTCTCTTCCCATCTACTTTTGTTTCCTTTATTCTGTGTTTAGTGTCATCTCAGCTTTGTCATGATGGTTGACCTGTTACCTGGTGTTTGCATTGTCAGTTAGAGCTTTCAGTTGTAAGAAGACGTCTCTCTCTCTGTGCCCCACAGTATCGCACATTTGACCCATGTAAGCAGCTGTGGTGTAGCCACCCGGACAATCCGTTCTTCTGCAAGACCAAGAAAGGACCACCCATTGATGGAACCATGTGTGGGAATGGGAAGGTATTTATCAGCTACTGTACTTTATTCTGTTAAAAAAAAATTAACTATTTGATGGTACGCTGCATCCAAATAGCAACTTTGTCTTGTATTCTCGGCCTGTTGCAGCACTGCTTTAAAGGTCACTGCATCTGGTTGACTCCTGACATCATAAAGCAAGATGGAAACTGGGGTTCATGGAGTGAGTTTGGCCAGTGTTCCCGCACCTGTGGAGGGGGAGTACAGTTTCGCACACGCGACTGTGACAATCCAAGGTATGAAACTGGTTACCAGAGTCTATACATGTAAAAGAAAGTGCAACCTTTGCATTGAGTTATACAGAATTCAGCCCTAAGAAACCACTAAGGCAGATGATGTGAGGTTCAGATAGTGACTCCTGTTGGGGATGTGCAGTTGTTAAATGTATCATTTCTAGCTCCGAATTTCAAGTAAAAGTCAAAGTGCTTCTGAAGTGAAACGTGATACTGTTTAGAAGAAAGTAGAAACATTCTCGTGTCCTCGGCTCTGCAACCCTTCCAGACCAGCCAACGGAGGCCGGACCTGCGTGGGGGCAACTTACCAATTCCAGATGTGCAACACCAGCGAGTGTGAGGATATCTACAGCGACACACGAGAGGAGCAATGCCATGCTTGGGACCCTCGATTTGAAGTCCACAGCAACAAGCACCACTGGCTGCCTTATGAACACCCAGACTGTGAGTGCAACACGTGCATGGGAAGTGCTCAGGTGAAGACATTGAACCAGGTTGAACGTTTAGTGATGATATACTTTGAAAATACAAATGATAGCCCAAAAGCGGACGCAAACACATTTCTGGGTAATAGACGGTTTATATATAGAAGCTGTGTTGTGTTATGGTCACTGACATCTGGCTGTCCTGCTGAGTCTCAGCGCAGCTTTGAGGTATGACTACGCCCTCCCATAAAAACAAGCCGTGTCTTTGAAAACCTCTTTAAAAACAATCTTCTTTGAACTCTTGTCTTTCTCCACCCATTCGCTGACGTCATTTTACCTTCACTGACCCCCCACCATCCTTTCTCTATCTTTTCTCTCCATCCTCCATCAGTTGGCACACATGGACAAACAATCACGTTCACAATGGAGTCCAAACCTAAAGTTGTCCGTTAAATACCCCAAACCACTTTACATTATTGAGAAGTTTTAAACGTGTGTGTGTGTGTGAAGTTGTCAGATCCACGCTGTCTCTAAGTAGAGGTGTCACTGTCTTCCTGATACGTATTAAATTATCGTCCAACTAAAGGGCAGCCCTCGAGAAAAGTGCTGATCTATCCATCTAAACGGAGGTCACGTGAAGTCTGCTAAGAGGGGCCTTGCTAAATTGTTTTTCTTCATTCTTATTATTTCTAAATGCCATATTTTTCAGCACAGCTTTCACCATCTCAAATTACTTTTCCGTGTGTGAGTGTGCGAGCACATGTTCGTGTCTGTCTGCGTCTGAGAGGAGGAAAAAAAAAAAGAAGTGAACAGGGAGGTGAAATTGAATTCCATTCATGGTCTGTCATCTCCTGAGTTCCAGATAGTGTGAGGAAAAAGAGAGCGTCTGTTCCAAATGTGAAATTGTAGTATTTATTTGACAAATTCATGTTTTTATGTCTCTATTTGGGTGTTTTCCCCGAGTTAAGAAATATACCCTTGAGGAAAGAAAAAGGAAAGTCGAGGCTGCAGCGTGTGTGTGTGGCTGTTCAACCATCGAGTCAGAACCACATCTATCCTTTCGGTTTATCTTATCGTGTCTAAAGCACTAAATTTTCTGCTGTTTTGTGTGTTCTCACACAGATGGGATTCAATGTGTCCCAGAACTCCTTGTAGAGAAGTGTGTGCAAAATAACCCTCCAGTGACTCTTTAATTAACACACTGGACCCCAAAGAGAACCTCAATTGATATTTGAGGGGGTCTTACAAACTAAAAAGCTGATTTTCTGTGTATCTAAATGTATTTGTACATTAGAATGTTGAAGGAAAGAAACGGCACAGAAGGTCTGACTGACATCGAATAGACAACCAATGCACAGTACATCTTGCCGATACTAAAAATGCAGACTAACTATTTATTCAACCTCTGCAGTTCTGCACTGCAGTGCAAGTGCATGACATTGACCCCTCAACTGTCACAGCACAGTACAGTAGAAGAGCCTTCATTCAGATTGCTGAAAAGAGAATTCGTACATTGGATTCTCAGTTCAACGTGACAGAAATGTGTTTTCTCCCTTATAATGTAATTCAGCAGTTCTGCAGCATGTTTGCCACCTGTTTATTAGTGTCAGAGCTTCATAAGACAAGGTCTCTGGATTGTGGCCATCTGTAATAAACGTGATGAAGTAGGAGTGTTCTTTCTCACTGGGATGATCTGCCAGGTTTTGTCTCTCGGGGCTCATGTAGTTGTAGTATGACTCACTCTGACAGACACAATGAGGCAGTGTCACGCTGACTCACGGAGAGCTCATTGAGAACATAAAAAGGAATCATATGTTGGTTGTAAACATGAAATCATCAAGGTGGATCTCAAGTGTGACATTCTGATAATCGTTTGAACGGTTATCATCATCCTGAATGTGCGTTTGTGTTGCTTTGTCCCAGCCAACAAACGCTGCCACCTGCATTGCCAGTCCAAGGAGACGCGAGATGTGGTCTTCATGCAGAGAATGGTCCTGGATGGCACTCGCTGCTCATACAAAGACCCGCACAGTGTGTGTGTGCGTGGGGAGTGTGAGGTGAGTGATGTTATCTGTGTGTGTGTGTGTGTGTGAAGGCCTGAGAACGAGGCAGCTGCATGCGTTCAGATCGACATGTGCCAAACTTTCCATGTCCTCGTTAACAGAAAGTGGGCTGCGACGGTGTGGTCGGCTCGTCGAAGCAGGAAGACAAGTGCGGGGTGTGTGGAGGCGACAACTCCAGATGCAAAACCTTCAAAGATACCATCACGCGCACTGCCAGGAAACAAGGTAAACACACTAACTGTCACAGTAACCCTTATTTAAATGTAGGACAGACTTGACTTGGTCCCATCAGTGTAGCCCATCATTCAGAATAAACAGTTGGCCAGTCTCCTTTGTTGATAAGCTGGACTGTTTTCCCTCTGTATTTTGTTATGTTTAATTAAACATCGCCCTCTAGAGGTAGATGTGTAAAACTGACCTTAAACCTCAGTGAGTCTGAGCCAACAGATTTCCATGTGAGCTTTGCCAAGAAGTTACGTCAAGCCTTGCTTTATGAGCTAATGTTTATAGGGAATATTATCTAACTCTTGATCTCGGGACAGACCTATATTATAACAGCAACATTACCAGAATCGGATGTTTTCTCTGTATGAAAATAAGTAAGACTGCAGGGATTTTCACTGGTGAGCAAGGCTCTTTGGTTGAAATGAGTGACACCTCTTTGCTGAGGCTCTTTGTCAGGAAACTGTAAAATCAACTTTAAAGGACTGATTTTGGAGCCACAACCCAGATGTGTGTTTTATTGCAGGTTTCCTCAGAATTCTTGAAATCCCCCGAGGAGCGAGACACTTGCTGATCCAAGAGCTGAAATCAACCTCACACACTCTGGGTATGTGACACTGTACCTTGTTTCTCTTTTGTGCGTATGTTCCTACTTCTGGATTTGCATTTGCATGTTGTGCGACTGTAGTCAGATTGTGTTTCTCACCCACCTACAGCTGTTAAGAACGTGGCATCAGGACTGTTCTTCTTAAACGGGGAAAACGAATACCCAGAGTCCCGCTCGGTCATCGAGAAGGGTATTGAGTGGGAATACGAGAATGACAACGACAAGGAGACCCTTCAGACCACCGGCCCTCTCAGACATGGAATTCTCATTATGGTACACAATGACGTGACGTTCTTGCATATTGTCTGCATACGATAAGAATGACACTGAAAATATGACTTTTTATCCTGAAATTATGCAAAGTATCTTTTTTATGATTGTGTTATGGTGATCTCTCTGTTTGCAGATGAAATTACACGGGGATGAAGATGTGAATTTGTCTTACAAGTACATGATGAATATGGGCAGTGACTCTGGCATTCAGAACAACATATTGGTAGAGGACAGTGCCTATGAGTGGGCCCCAAGGAGATGGTCCTCCTGCTCCAAGCCTTGCGGTGGAGGTACAGTAGAGCAAAGACAACACTCGTGATGAAACCTGAGATTATGTTACTATGCTTGTTCAATGTTCCGTCCCCTTCCTGTTGCAGGTAAAGAGTACTTGCGATATGGCTGCAGAAGAAAAGTTGACAGCAAGATGGTTCACAAAAGCTTCTGCAACAGGTCCAACATGAAACCCAGAGGAGAAACCAGAGACTGCAACCAGAAGCCCTGCCCTCCACCAGTGTATGCACTGTTTTATACATGTTTCCACCTCGATTCACATGCACAACACCTCGAATTAATAAATTCAATAATTTACGCCAAAGCATGCCTCTGACTGGCATCATGATCAACATTTTTAAAGCTCCTGTTGGTGTCAGTCACAGGAGAAACAATCAGCCTCTTGGGTTGAAAAATAAAAGTGTTATGGTTGGTGGAGTATTTGGTTAGATAGAAACATTGACGTTTTTTGACCAAATTTGCACCATCATATAACTGGTTTGTATGGTTCTATCAAAGCAGGGTTGTACCATTGAAGATCACGTGTACAAATCAATGAGTGCAAAATTTCAGGACTCTAGCTACATTATTCCTCAAGCTATAGCACTTCAAACATTGTTCCACAGATTGGTGTGAAGAAAAGGATGCAAAAATCAACATGACCCCGTCTCGCTTGAAGAATTCAAGAAATAAAAAAACTAATGTTACCTGTGACCCCAGATTTTGCACATGTTTAAATCAATCAATATCCACCACTTTAAAAAACAGTCGGTCAAACTGAAGATGGTCGGGCTCGGGGCATTCGGTAAATTGAGTCGCAATAAACCAGTTGTTAACACATAACTTGGGAATCTGACTTTGCGATTCAGGTGTCAGGCTTTTCCTGCGTTCAGTCAGCCATTTTCCCAACTTTGCTGTTGTCTAACTCAACATTCTGACATTTTGAACTCTTGTTTCTCTCCTTCCTGGGATTTTCTCCAGTTGGGTGACAGGGGAGTGGCAGAACTGCAGCAAACCATGTGGAAAGACAGGGATGCAAATCCGCTCGGTCAGCTGTGTCCAGCCTTCAGATGACAACACCACACGCTCAATCCACAACAAACACTGCAACGACAACCGTCCTGAGGCCCGCAGACCCTGCAACCGATACCCCTGCCCCACCCAGTGGAGAGTTGGACCATGGTCACAGGTATGCACGCTGAACATGGGTCAACAGAAACTGAAAAGTAAAAAAAAATATGTTTAACCAATATGTATTGTTGCATGAAAAGACCAGATGTTGAGTTTGTCGGACTCAACATCTGGTCACACGACTTTGTTGGACCTATATTCTTGGCATGGTGCTCATGTGCTTTACGCGCTTTATATTTTGTTCTAATTTGTTGTGTTTTGTGTGTGTGTGTCCTGTATCTCCAGTGCTCAGTGACATGTGGTAATGGGACTCAGCAGAGACAGGCTCTGTGCCACACCAGGGACAACACCATCGGCCTGTGTCTGGACAGCAAGCCTGACACCATAAGAGTCTGTCGCCTGGAACCATGTCCCAGTGAGTGCTGAGCCCATAAATAATCTGCCAGGCAAACCACACCATGCTGAAGTGGATTTATTTACTTTGACAGAACGGTCTTAATGTCTTCAACATCACTGATACCAATAAATGTCAGAACTGGGAAGTCTAAAAGGAATAAACTGCAAATCGAGAATACTGTTTGACAGAAACCCATCAAGTCTTTGAGATATTTCGCTAAGTGGAAGCGTTTTCCTGTCGGGTTATTCTATTTTAAATTATTACATCTCTGAATGACCACCTCTAATTTGACTAAAATTTGTTATAGCATAAAATAAGGATATTTAAAAAGATATTTTTAAAAATTTAACTTCAAATATCAAAGACTTTCTGAGACTTTTTTTTATTAATATTATTCTAAAATTCCTATCAACTCACTTTAGGCATGTTTTTTTGCACTTTGAAATTTGATATGTGTGAATGACGATTGATCTGATAATAAGGAAGCATTAAAGATAAAAGCCTGAAGTTTACACAGCTATTGCTCATCATGTCATTGATTCAGATTCTGCAATATCGGACGAATAGATCAAACAATTGATCATGAGTCAGTTAAAATATGGAGAAAAAGGCCCATCTTAAAGCATAAATTGACAGCAGAAAATGATTAATGTAACAGTAAGCTAGTGATGTTTTCTGAACTATAGCCCCTTGTCACAATAAGACAAAACAAAACACAGAAAATACTTTTTATTATGAAATACTTGGTCGCAAAAATGAGAAGAAAAATATTTTTGTTTAACTTTCATAGCTGATTGAGCAGGTATGAGTCGTACCACAATTATAATAATACCGGTAGAAAATCTAATCCAAGTAGTTCTGAAGTTTGAAAATGATCTTCGAAGTATAAATAGGAAAATGTATTTAACATGGGAATATTTTTTTTAATTTTCAGATGCTACTTTGTAGCCGGAAAACTTGGTTTGGAGGAGACTTGTTTTGTGCAATTTCGTTGGGAATCACTTGGTCATTAGGAAAGACCTGCTATATGTATCTAAAATTTCACAGATATCATTTTTTATTACAACACTACATGTATTATATTTTATATCGATATGTCCATAGTTTATGCTTAGAAAAATAAAAAATAAAATAAAAAGTTTCAAGCAAACCAGTGATAGTCGAGCTGAAGGTCCCTGATGATTTGAGATTGAATTATATTAAAGGTTTAATGAGGAGCTGGAACAAACACAACACAGAATATATTCTTTAAGATACGGTCAAACAATGTGAAACCAGAATATGTTACCAATATTAAGGCTATTTAAGGGGGACAATGGAATATGCTAAACTAGACAGCCCTGGTATCAGTACAGAAGGAAAAAAGTTGCCTTGCTTCAGTTTATTCACTCCTGTACACATGTGCAAATGTTTCCATGCATGACTTTAAAGTAGTAGTTTTACTGTACATGTGTGATGACTAAACAAAAAGCAAATTGTTAACTGATAGCACTCTGTATTTGTGTTTGTGCTCATGTGCATGAGTTATCTTTAATGCTTCCATCTCTCTCCTTATTCCTCTGCAGAGGGCTCGTCAGACCTCAACAAGAACGGCAACATTCTGATCCAGTGGCTGTCTCGGCCCAACCCCAACTTCCCGAAGATCTCCTCACGTAAAACCTCCCTCTATAGTTCCCAGCCTGGCCTCCACAGCGGCAGCCGCAGCTGCATGTCTATCCTCTACTGGGCCCTGCCCATATCTGTCCTCCTGTCTCTGCAGGGCCGGCCCCGGCTGGCCCCCTGACCCGCTCCTCCCCCACGTCTCGTGCCTGTGCCCACGCCCGTGAGCGAGCGGCAAAGCTTTTGCTTCTCTTTTGGGGGGGATGTTGTGTCTCTCTCTCTGTGTCTGAGACGGCTCTGACTGGGGGAGGTCTCTGGCTCCTGTGTGTGCTAGCTGGTTCTCTCTTGCTCTGTCTCTCTCTCTATCTCTCTCTCTCTCCTTTGTGGAGCATTGTGTTGTAACCGCTGGCCAGTCGAAAAATCAAAAGATCAACAAAAAATTTGATGTGAAAAGGATTCGAAGTGGCAAACAGGTTTTCATTGACACCTCCTGAGACGTGTCGAAGAGCCGTCCACGTGTGAGGGGACCCCCCCTTCTGCATTTGGCGGCCATGTTTTGCGCGAGCTAGCTGCGTGTTGTCATGGGTTACCACTCCTGAGATGCAGCTGCGCTTTTTTCTTTTTGTAGTGCATTGTCAATGTGGGGAGAGACAGGTGTGAAAATAAACAGAAAGGGTATATAAATATCTATATAGAAAAAATATATATATATAAAAAAAAAAATATGAAAGCTTTATTGTGAATGTGATCCGAGGACATCTTTGCTAAAGTGCTCATTTGACATCCTGGTTCTATTCGGGGATGAGAATGGCGTCTCATTCTACGTTCCATTCTCAGATTGACAGGAACTCAGCACAGGGACAGGAAGTGACATGAGTAAACCTTTTGATTTTTGGGGGGAGGGAACTGTGAGGTGAAGAATCTGGAAGTTACGGATAATAAAAGAAACAAAACAAAAAAAACAAAGAAAAAAAGAAAAGAAAAAAAAAAAAACAGGGTAGTCTGACCACTTGAGGTTGCTTCCCATTTCACCTCATCATCAGCCATCCTCTCTTCGACTGTTATACAAAAGTTCAATAAATGCAGCTTATTTGTGCTTGCAGACTTTAAACAAATACATCTATAAATATATTTGTATTTATATATATCTATAAATCTAAATCTATATGAGTAACAATAATATTAATAATGTTTTACCATGAATAAGCTGTAGCTTATTTGCCTAAAACCTTTGGACTGCTATTGATCGCTTAGATCCTTGACTGTTATGTGTATTTTTTTATTGATTTTACATGAATACAGATGAATATTTAATAAAGGTAAAGTGTTTCGGGGGAAGGGGTTAGACCTATATTATGCAGGACTTGGTCAGTTAGTTGCCTCTCCATTCTCTCAGATGGATCAGTGGTTTACTGTCGCTTCTTGTTTTCTTTAAGGATAGGATCACGTTTCGTCATGCACATTTGCATCCATCACCTGTGTGTTTGTGTATATATGTGTGTGAGTGTGACGGTGTGTGTGTGTCCATGTATATATGTGTGCGGGAGGATGTGCGTGTAAGAACATGCGAGTGAGTAAATGGAAAAAAAAACGCCAGTCTTGTTAGTCAAAGTGTGTCGGTGCGATTGTGTGCGCGCGTAAGGGTGCTTCATCATTCGGGCTTTTACACATTGCGATCAGATACAGAAATACCTCATAAGCTTTGATTTGAGAGCGTCCGATGATCTCATTTTATTTTGATGAACATTAATCACATGAACAATGCCTTATCTTGGATTGAATGTAATGGCATTTATCTGTGAAAGAGATGGCTTTACTCATTCAAAGTTTCACTCGGAATAGAGGCAGCTTCAAACCAACTTAACAAACTCACACCCGCCAACCATCAAACCTACCAAGGTGATGTTGGACCAATGTCCGACTACTGGGAAGGGTTTACAAAGGGCCTAGGGTATTGACACATATGGCATCTAGTAAAAAAAAAAAAAAAAAAAAAACACTTCAGACTTGTCATTGTATTGTGATCACATATTTCTGTTGTGACTATGTAGCGAGCTATCCAAGGTTTCCTTCTGCTGGAGTTGGACTGTATGAGACCAAGCCAGACCTAGCAGTGCGATACTGTATATAACATTGGTGTTGACTGTATTTAATAATGTTCATGACTGTTATCTTCTTCTATAATATTCTATACTATGGGTAACTGTTTTGTGGCTTCACTGGCCTGCTGCGTGGGGCTGGCTAACGTTTGGCTAACGTTGAAGAAACATTCAGATGGACTACGTGCACTGCGTCTATATGCACTTTGATTTATCAGGGAAATTTTATTAATGTTTTGTAAATGTTTCATATGACACTTAATGTGCCATTCCAGTTTTTACATCATCATGGAAATTATGTATTTTATTTAAACAGCAAATATCATTTATGTACTTCATGGGGTTTATTTTTTTTGTTTTTGTTTTTGTTTTTTTGTTTTTTTTTTCAATCGGTAAACTGATTGACTGGTTGATTTCCAAGTAATCAAGTGTTTTACCAAAGTGACTGTGAACTTGTAACTTTCGATACAGTTGAATTATTTTTCTTAAGAAAAAAAAAAAAATCTATATATTGAGCAGGGGGCAGGGGGGGCGTACATCTCATTGTTTTAGTTCCTGTCATTCTCAACAGCAAAGTTGTATCAATAAAAATGTTTTAAAAAGTGTGATCTTTCTGTCACCAGGAATGTTCACTGGTTAGATTCTATGTCAGAGAAAATGTCAGAATGTCAGACGTTGCATTGACGGCGTGGTTATTTTTACTGGCATGGTACAAAAAGGGTACAAGTCAAGTGTGTTTTAATATGTAGCTGAAAAAAGTACTTGTCTGAAGCAAAGGTAACGCAAAGCTGCATTAGCAGGAGGAAGTCAGAATTATGTCAGATGCTTGAGGTGAATAATTCCAACAGTTATATTTACAACACAAGACTGGCGACCCTTCTTTTTCCATTTCAGTTGCTCTGGACTAATCTCATGACTGCTCTTGATGTTTGGGTTTTTCTCCTCTTTCTTCCCGCATCCTCTGCTAATGGTCTAGCTTTACTACTGTACTTTGCACGGTGTGAAACCAACACACACACTTACACATACACACATGTGCATGCAATTTATGTACAAACTAACTTGCCCACAAAGATTGATGCTAATGCGATAACTTATTTTGCACATGCTTTAACATGCAAATATGTATCCCAGTACTTAGACACACACACACACACACACCTCTTCGTAGTCTCTGCCCCGCCTGCGCCAAGTCTCAGCTCTCTGTTCTCTCCTTTACAGGCCAGCGTTGTCATGGAGACCGCTCTGTGTTCTGTCGTATGGAGGTGCTGAGGCGCTACTGCTCTCTACCGGACTACCAGCGCATATGCTGCAAGTCGTGCAGCAATGTCACCGTCACAGAGCCTGTGCCCAACCCCACCTCCAGATCCACCCCCATCACCTCCATCTGGCCCACAGCCCCTCCACTCACCAGCATCCAGAGCTCTGACTTCACCACCCTCCGACCCACCGAAGCTGTCACCACCACCATTTCCGCTTCTACCATCATTTCCTGGCCCATCACTCATCCTCCTGCCTCCACTACCCCGACCCATCATTCCACCCCAACTTCATGGATTACTACAGACATGATCACAACTCATCCACCAGCTACCACCAGCGCTTCTGTCCTCTCTACCATCTTTCCCATGGCAATCACCACAGTTCCTCCAACCTTTCCTAGTGTTGCAGCTCATCCCTTGCCTCTGCCTGCCCCAGACATAGACAAGAGCACAGATCCACTGGAACAGAGAACTACAAATAGTCCAACAACATCTAGTATGATAACCACCATAGATCTTTCAACAACAGCCAGTGCACCAATGACAGATCCAGCAGAAATCACCACACAAACAGACATTACGCTAAACCCCAAGCCTGAAAAGAAAATTGTCCCAAAGAAAACTCAGAAAACGGTGATTCCACCAAAGGTCAATCCAAAAAAGAAAACTGCACAAAAGAATCCACCAAAAAAGCCTGTTCCACCAAAGACTTATCCCAAAAAGAAAACAAATACTCCTCCAAAAAAGACTCCATCAATCACAACTCCCAAAAAGACGACTCCATTGAAAACGACTCCCAAAAAGACTACGCCAAAAAAGATTACTCCTTCTAACACTTCACCCAAAAAGATTACTCCATCAAAAAATTCACCCAAAAAGACCACTCCATCAAATACTACTCCCAAAAAAACTACTCCATCAAAAAATTCTCCAAAAAAGACCACTCCATCACACACTACTCCCAAAAAGACTACTCCATCAAAAAAATTCCCAAAAAAGACCACTCCATCAAAAACTACACCTAAAAAGACTACTCCATCAAGCACTTCTCCCAAAAAGACTACTCCATTTAACACTACACCCAAAAAGACCACTCCAAAAAAGACTACTCCAGTAAAGACCACTATAGTGAAAAAAACCGAACCTCCTCCCAAAAAGCAGGTTCCACCAAAGACCAATCCCAAAAAGAACATTCAGCCAAAGGCAAAAGTTACAAAGCAAACTCAGACCAAGACAAACGTCCAAAAGAACCTCAAACCAGGACCCAAAAGTATCTTAAACACACAGGCCAAGGTTAATCAAAGTAAAGCCAAGGGGAAAAACACAACTCCAAAAAATAAAACACCTAAGACAGTTTCCTATTACACCACAACTGTTTCTCCCTATGCAAGCAAAGAACCATCAAGGGAGGACTTTTCTTCCACTATCTCTTCAAATGTTGATGTATATGGTACAACGACAAGCTTGCCTTTCCCTGAGACAAGAATCAATGTCACATACATCAGCAACGACACAGCTGCTACAGATGAAACTCCACTGTGGTACTATGACAGCACAGACACTGCAGCCACAACTCCCAGCACTTTCGATGATCTTGTAACACCCTCTGCAAACATTTATGTTGAGGACATCACAATGCCCAGTGGTACCATGCCATATGGTGACCTCACAGTGACTGGCAGCGGTGATCTTACAGTAAGCAGCGGGATCATTCTCAGTGGCGATGATATCACAGTGTCCTACAGCAATGTGGGAGTGGTCAGCGACACCATGGTGCTGGACGACGGCCTCACCATGGTGATCCCGACCATTGACGGAGAGGACATGACGGAACTCGCCTCGTCCCCCTGGCTGGACCTGTCGGAGTACATCCCCGTGAACGTCCCTATTCCCACGACAACCTCAGACCCCGCTACCACTTCACTTCCCACCACGATCGCTCCCACTGAAGGAAAACCAGTCACCATAGCCGCCACCACCTCTACTGTAAAGCAAAGAATAGAAGAGAACAACTCCATCGACGTCTTGGACAACAGGATCAACAGCGTGGACAACGACATCTCTCAGAACAACCTGATCCCAAAGCGCCGGGTCAACCTCAGAGAAAGAACCAGGAACAAACGCATTCAGGAGCTTCTAGAGGAGAAGCGAAACTTTCTCCTCAGGATGAAGAGAGGCCACACAGCGCAGTAGACCAAGCCTTCTCATTTCTCTTATAGAGATGAACATTGTGTCTTAACTGCCGCAAACGCTTTATATCAGGCCTTTCCACAAAGAAACTCCCTGTCATATCACAATCAGGACTGTTGCAGGGGAGAAAATATCACGGTCAAATATTTGAACAGTTGCTTTGATTAAAGAAAAGCCCTTTAGAGTACAAACTGTTGCAGATTTGAATCAAATCACCTGGCCTGTGCAAACACAATAATGAGAACAGAAGGGATGAAGAGTGAACATCCAGTTTGACCAGCCCTTTGCAAACCCAAGCTTTTATCTGTCGAAACCACCCACTGTCTTGTTTGAGGATTCAGTGATGATGTTGATAAGATGTAATGTAGTTTGTAAAATGGTATTATCCCTATGGACGGGCACTTAGGGAGCAACAAAATCTCCCACCTAGAATTCAAATCTCCATCCCACACTATATTACAGCCCAGGACTGCAGCTTCCCCCAGACAGATATGAATACCTCTCAGTTCCCCACTAACAGCTACTGTAGGATTAGATGAAACAGTTTCCTTGTTAAGTGGCCGACACTCTCTATACCCTACACATACTGTATTATGGTGCTTCTGGAGGCCTGAAAGCGGTGTGGTAATGCCAGACAATCAGAAAGTCAAAGTTTCCTTTAAGTTTTGATTGAAGTTTACACTGGTTGCATTGTGTTACCATTTACAAAGCAAAGATTTTCCAAAGGGTTTCTTATCTCTCAGGAAGTTAGAATAACAGTATGAAAGTTTGATGAGGGACATTGTCAAACACTTGGTGCTGAAATGATAAATATTAATATCTCATTAAGCTAAGCAGAAAAACAAAATCATTGAAGAGAAAAAAAAACATATTTTGATTGCATTTTTGTTTTTCTGTAACGGTCAGTCACGTATGGTGCTTTTTTGTTTGTTTTTTTTGCCAGCGTTGCTAAAAGCAATGTCCCTCATGTAAGAAAACTACAAAAAAAATTATAGTTATAAAATGAACAAGCCTTTTTATATTACCTTTATGCAATCAAAAGCTTTGAGGGCCAGTTTGTTTTCTTCTCTAAAAGGTTTTAATGTTTGTACATCTCTGACTTGCAGCAACTGCAAAAGCACCTACAGATCTTTCTGTACGATATCTGTACATATAAAATAGAAGTTAATGTTTAATATTTATTAAAGTTTAAGTGCCTGTGGTATTTTGCAATATATCTGTGTTGTGTGATCTTTGTTTAGCTACCACCCTACCCTTTTTTCTTTTTTTGGCTGTAACACAAAGTTGTGTCACGCTGTCACCTCCGACAAACAAAACACGAGATAACTCTGTTCTTCAATCTGTTTAACTCGCAGGAAACACAGCGCAGTGGCCATGTGGACTGGGTTTATGTTTGTGGTCATGTGAGGCTCAAACCAGTATTTATAAAGCCTTGCTTTGTGATGACAGACTTACAATAAGAGTCTTTGTGCTGATGTCACCTTCAAAGTATGAAGACCCTGACTGGAAACGGCATGAGTGGGCATGACTTTACAGATATCTGAACGTAACAGCCTTTCTTACAAGTGGGATTCAAAATTTGTCCCAGGAAGTGCCTTGCTTATTTTTATCTGGGGAGGAATTCCTTCTACTTCTAGGGATAAAAACAATTACACTTTCTGTAAAGGCACCCTGCTACGAAGTGTTTTAAATGTAATATTCCTGAAGTATGCATTGGGGTGGCAGTTTTTAACCTTGATTAATACGATCCAATACCAATACTGTCTGCAGAGAAGATATGACATTAAGCTGAACTCGTGGCTCAGAAGTTTTAGTCAAACTTCTGCCTACTAACAGCATAACTAAACCAATTTGAATTCATTGAATACATTTCAAACAAACATTAGTTGTTGCATCTTTCCTTCACATGCTTTCATCTTCTTCTTTTTTTTTTTCAAAACTGGTTTCAACGATTCTCTGCAATGTGTCCACATGTCTTGCTACAGTCATTAAAGGTTCCGTTGTCAGCAGACTATTAGATTTACTCAGACATGCTTGAGCACGAGCAACGTGCAGCAAATTAGAATGGCATGGTCAATAATAATAACAGTCCCTTTTCATTTCGTCCGCCTCAGTAACAAACAAAGAAACACAGTACGTGACCAAATAGTACTTTGGAAAGTAAATGTTAAAAGTCTAATATTTGTGTCCTGATAAGCTCAGGTGACGCTTCCACATGTGGAGGGGTAAAATAAGTACAAACAGACAGGACTATTTGTGTAAAGCAGGCGCTATCAATCAACAGTTGGTAACCTTTGAGTCAAGTGTTCAGCGTGATCATTTATCCAGACTAATAAACCGTCAGATCATGATGATTCACAAATGGAAAGACCAGTTGAAAAGGGTTCATTGTTCAAAGCAAAGTCTCTTAGTAGTGAAATGTGCATGATATCTGTTCTGAGGGTGAATATTACCAGCGCTAATAGGATCATGTCAGTCCACAGAGTCACAAAGGTTCATAGATGTGGTTGTTTTTCTTTTGTTTGTTCAAATTATCTTCTTTTGAAGTGAGGTTTGTCATGTTTACTTTTACGTTAGACACAGGGTTCGAGTGTTGTTTCTTGTTATTGTCGTTTTTTTGTTTAAATAATGTCACATTCGTGTCATTCCTCGGAGCGTTTTGACGTCAAAGTACTGGTTTTTGAAGGCTTTGCAATTGATTGAACAAATGCACTCTGTGACCTTGTTGCTGACCTCCTTCTACTCATGACAACATGTTTGTTAAAATCTCTTGCTCAGGCATTCAGTCTGCTTCTAATACTCTTGAGGCCGTTTTGACTTCCTTTTAACTCAAGTGAACCAGAGTTACACTCACTAACAAACCACAATCACTGGCAGTTAGTGAGTGGCCTCAACCGTTATGTGCCCACACCCACTCACGGATGCAGTTGGCAGGCTCCCTCCTACTAGACACATAGCAATTTGAACTGATGTAGTCGTGAGAATGAGAAACTGAAGACCTGGTAAAGACAAAAAAAAAAATGACATGCTGGCCCTGTAGGCGGAGTTGACTTCAGTTAATATGATACCAAGCAATACTGCATAAAAAAACTACTACAAGAAAAAAGTTGCAATTCTGAAGAGAAACAAAGCAAGTTTAATTCAACATCCTAAACTATGTCCACCGAAATGAAACTGAGGACTTTTTAGACACAGTAATTTATTACACAGGTGTTTGGTAGCCCTACTGCATCAGTTAAAACCATTTAATCTGGCAAGAAATTGTGTTTGGTGACGCTAAGGCCTGCAGTATTTAAATGACATCATTTAGGTTTTTTGAATGGAGAATCCTGTCACTTTATTTGTAATGATAATGCTTCAGAGGGGTCTGAACAATGAAACAAAAATCATGAAGTTAAAGGACCGCTGGGAAAGATTTTAAGGCATCTAGGGGTGAGGTTGCAAATTGCAAACAACTAAATACCCCTTCCTTTCCAAGCATGTAGGGCAGGGGTGTCCAATCCTGGTCCTCGAGGGCCACAATCCTGCCTGTTTTAGATGTTTCCCTCTTCCAACACACCTGATTCAAATGATCAGGATCGTTATCAGGCTTCTGCAGAGCTTGATGATGAGCTGATCATTTGAATCAGATGTGTTGGAAGAGGGAAACATCTAAAACATGCAGGACTGTGGCCCTTGAGGACCAGGATTGGACACCCCTGATGTAGGGGGACCTATGTTGGGGATCTTTTTCATGTAAAAACACTTTCTAGAGCCAGTGTTGGGTTTGTCTACTTCAGAAGCATGTCGGTGCAACATGACGGCCTCCGTGGAAGAATACCTGCTCCCTATCTATCTCTCTCACTCTGGTAACGAAAGCACAAGGATTAGTAGATGCAGGTGATAATATATGGATGAAAACAGAATTCTTATTACTGGAATCTATTTGTGCTCATAGCTACCTTAAATTCTACACTCTGGTCTTGTAATTGTGATCATTTCCCCAGCCTTTTGTCTAAACACTGCACTTGCAGACATCAAGACAGGCAATAGTGTTATGAAATACACCAGCAGCCCACCATGAACTCATTTATCAAGAATATGTGGGTACTGAAGTTCCAACCAGGAGTAGTCTACCTAAGGCAACACTAGCATTATCAGCTAACAGCTCCCAACTGAAGGTAATATGTGAACCATAATAAAGCTGTTTTATTTACAGGGTTATGTGGCCGTACATGGCCGTACGATGGGGTGGTCTGCGTCAAGCTCGGGTCCTCTGCCAGATCTCTGTTAACTTAAGTGTTCTGCACATTGTCTTACTGTTCCCAGAAATACACTCAGATGTTGTTCCTGAAATCAAACTCTTCCCAGTTTGGTTGTCACATTTCCCAGCGCTCATATGACTCCAGAGACCATTTGGACATCACCTTCCACATCTGTTCCAGTTGTTCTTTTAGCTGCTGGTAATTCTTTTCAAGCTCTCTCTTGCCTGTTACTGTCAGCTGGGATGGCCACATCCAATCAAAGTGTCATCTTCTGTTCCTTGTCTATGCGTCTGGTTGGTTAGCCAGCAGCTGCCCACAGGATTAAGGTACTTTTCCTGGCGTGTCCCACTGAGACTTGAGGACCTCTAACCCATATTTGGCAGACGTGTTCCTGTGCACTATCCCAGTCACTTGGTTCTACCTTCACACTGTCCCAGCCTACATCTTAGAATATGTTGCCATGTGCTGGACAGTCACAGGAGTGTCTTTGCATTGTCTGCATCCAGAGTCCTCTCCTGCTGGGATTGTCCCATCTGTCAAAACTGTAATCTCCCATTCTTTCCTCTCATTTATGTAAGGAAACTACAAAAAACAAATAATAATAATAAAACAAACAAGTCTTTTTCTATTACCTTTATGCCATCAAAAGCCTCAAGGGCCAGTTTGTTTTCTTCTCTAAAAGGTTTTAATGTTTGTACATCTCTAACTTTAGCAACTGCGAAAGCACCTACAGATCTTTCTGTACGATATCTGTACATA